GGTCTTAATTTTAAATTATCCATGGTTAAAATTCCTACATAGGTTTTAGGAAAAAAAAAAATTATAATCCCTCCGATCTTTATTACAAGGTATTTTGATTTGTTCTAAGTTTCATTTAGTATATTTCTTCCAATCAAAATAAAATCTAAAAAATATTTTTTAACAAATAGAAGAATACAATAAATGTGAAAATACATTTTTAAGGTTTTATTTTCAACTAAGAAAAAATATAAATGAAATTTAAGACAAATAAAAATATTTTGTACCGGAGGGAGTACTATTACTGGGGAGGGGGGGTGGTTTGACGAAATACAAATTCAGACATTCCAGAAATATGTGTGATAATGCTTTTGAAAACCCTAATCTCTACATGGTTTTTATTCACACAGTAATAACATTCAGCGAAAACACATCAGAGTGTCACAAATTTGTAATATTGTTTTGTTGCTTTCAGAAATCTTCCTTCTTTTCATTTCCTTACTTCATTAAGTCCATGTTTGTAATGAATATCTTAACTTTGTAAACTTTTTATTGATAAATATACGGCTTCAAAAATGAAACAAGGCAAAACTCTACCAATTCTAGCCAGTTCGATCTTTCACCATCTAACCATTCTTTGCATTCTATTGTTATGATATTTATGTACTAAAATAGGTTTACAAAGAATAATGGTTACAAGAGACTTATCAAACCCAAATCTAGTTGGGCAACTTTGCAACTTTTATTTGATCATTATTATATTATTGAAGAATAATAGTACTTCTATTGTTCTAAAATAAGGGGCGTATTTAGTACAACATATGTAATTTTTAAGGCAGACGAGTGTATGCAATCATTTATTAGCCTTTCACATTTCAAATTTAACGGTGATGACTACTGTAGGGACTAGTTAGTACTTAGTATGAATAGATGATTTTTTAACGTGACACATTTTTTAAATTTGAAAAGATAGATCAAAACGCGTAAATTGGAAGTTAAACGTGACATATTTCTCTCTATTATAAAATAATTGTCATTTTTGATATAATATTTCAGTACAATATTTTGAGACGAAGAAACAATTAGCAAATTGACTTATAATATGTTGATAGTACTTGGTTAGGAGATCACCACACTACTGCTTTGTGATGACTTTGCACCTTAATTATAAGCAAAATTTAATACACAAATTTTAGAGAAGGGGAAATTAGTCAAATGACTAATTTCGATCTGAGCTCAATGAATGTTGTTGGAACCAGAAAACATCACTCTTGAATGAATTCATTGACGAGTCATAAATTAACCTTAATCCTAATAGGTTTAGGCCGGCTATCTTGGAGGTTAAGTCACCGCCTAAACCTAATACGATTAGGTTTCAGGAAACAGGTAACACCACCTCTATATAAAGAGGTGGTGCCTCTCCCATAATACACATCTTCTACCTATCTTCTACACTTTCGACACACGATACACATCCTTCTCTCTATACTCTCTTTATTCCCTTATTGACTTAAGTATCGGAGAGTCTACCATCGGGAAACACCCGAGGCTCTGTCTTACAAGTTTTAGGCCGTCCACCGCCGCCTAGATCATCATCGCCACTGGTCCTAAGGCACCCTGCAGATCCATGCTTCGTCAAGTGGCACGCCCAGTGGGACCGATTTATTTGGTGTTCACAACCAAATAAATTTTTTGAAAAGAAGCCAAATTTTGTTTGTTGTTCACGGTGATCATCGGGTTGATATGATCTGCAAATCCATGTACGCGAAAAGCCAAAACCAAGAATTTAGAAATTGGAAAAACTGACCGTCGTTGACTTCCACGTCAACCGCCTCCAATCGACGATCAGATCGACGACCATTCTGGCGACTTTCTTGTCGAGTTACTCCAGCTGACAACGAAGCCGACAAAGCTGCTGTCGATTTCCATGCCGACCTAAACAAACCGACGAACAGGCCGGCAAGGGGCAGGAGGATCAACCGAGAAATAAGCTCTCAAGTCCTCGAAGCAAGGGGCAATTTTGAGGATTGAAGTTTTGAGAGATACATCTCCTCGAAGGGGCAAGCATCCGTCGAGCAATACACTACTACTCGACGTGTTCGAGAAGACGTATCTCAACTTTCATCTATTCAAATACTACCTTCTCGGAATTGAGGTAACACCTTCTCGAATAATCAATTCATCTATCAAGATCGAGGTACTTCTCAAATCTATTTTGATATATTTCTCGAATATAACTTAATCTTCAGCTGATATTCTTTACGAGTATTTTATTACTACATATCACTAGTTGGGCACCGGGTTTAAATAAGACCTGCTAGTCAGACACCGGGTTTAAATAAGACCTGCTAGTCGGGCACGACCCACAAAGACCTGCTAGACGGGCAACGGCCAAATAAGACCTACTAGATGGGCACAGCCACAAGACCTGCACGACAGGCAACTACAGGCTTCTCACCTTCAAATAAGAGAATCTAGGTGACATCCTTCTAATTCGCATACACAGACTTCCCCCTTCTAATCAAGAACTCACTAATACAAAGACCTCCTCGAGGCACTTTATTCTCTTTATCTTGTATTGGTGACACCCGAGAACGAAAGAGTTCGAGAGCTAGAGCAATACTATGAAACTCGAGAAGACATCAACACTTGTAACAACCCATATTCTTCTCATCAAGTCTCGAGAACATGGCTTGTTAGGGGCACTTTACGAGTTATAAATTAACCCTAGCCCTAATGGGTTTGGGCCGGCTATCTTGGAGGTTAAGTCACCGCCTAAACCTAATACGACTAAGTTTCAGGAAATAGGTAACACCACCTCTATATAAAGAGGTGGTGCCTTTCCCATAATACATATCTTCTACCTATCTTCTACACTTTTGACACACGATACACATCATTCTCTCTCTACTCTCTTTATTCCCTTATTGACTTAAGCATCGGAGAGTCTACCCTCGGGAGACACCAGAGGCTCTGTCTTACAGGTTTTAGGCCGTCCGCCGCCACCTAAATCATCATCACCACCAGTCCTAAGGCACCGTGCAGATTCATGCTTCGTCATTCATCATTATTCATCTACAAAACAAGAAGTTAACCCATCCCACAAGAACCCTAAACTCCTAATCAATGTAATAGAATAATTGCAAAGGGTTTTAAGAGAGTAGTACAAACAAAAGCCTCGAAAAAAGTGAAATAAAGCTGAACTTCTATCTTTCAAATTAACCCAAAAAACCAGAATCATCCCATAAATTGAACATCAATATCCCTGAAAGTATGATTATGTTCAAGTGTTGAAACTACAAAGCATGCTCTAAAGATTGATCTAATTGGCAGAGTTACCGGAGATTGATACGATGCAAGGATGTAACATTAGTTCGTTCGAATCTAAATTTTTCTATGTAGTCTTAACTCTACCATTTACTTTATATCAAACAAAAATAATGCAATAAATGAATTATTAAAATGGAATGGATGTAATATGATGGTGATGAATTTCTGACTTTCATTAGGAAGGGTCAGTAGTCCCCTACTGTCCCTTAATTGACTGATTAGCTTATAGAAATTATGTCCCACTCCCTTATAATCAGAAAAGTCCATTGAACAATCGCTTCTAGCTATCCTTTCTTAGTTTCTTTCGCTATCATGTATTCATGTTTATCGAATTCCACTATCTTTTTGGTGCCATCTTTTGCACCACCAACGAGTAAATTCTTGCTTCTAACATATATTTGCTTTAGATGTAAGACTATCATATTGTGATGCAAGGGATACTACATATTGTTACAACCATAACATTCCGTACAATTAATGAAAAGCCGCAATACAATTAGGTAATCTTTTCTCTGTCAAAAAAAAAAAACACATCGAATATGAAAATTTGTACTAAAAAATAGTACAAATTTGAAAATTCAATATGGACTATTTTTTTTTTTTTTGGAACAAAGATAGTAAAATACTAGAGAATAATATTATTTTTTTTTTGGATGAAAGTTGGTTCTTCTTTCGATATATGAATAAAAATTTAGGTTCAAACTGAGCTCATGATAGTAAAAAAGTTCGAAAACAAGTCCAACATGGAGTGTGGGTGTGTGTGTGTATGTCTTTTCATCTTCAAATTATAGAGAGTTGTATCTTAAAAAAAGAATGTAATTTGTGTTTCTTAAAATTCAGAAAGACGTTGTTGAAAAAAAAAATAAAAATTTACATGATTTGGTACGTTCTAAATGTGATCAAAGCAGAAACTAACAGCACAGCTAGTTATACCATCTCTTGCAGTATTAAGTTGGCATTTTGGCGTTGGCTAATGGAAAGAAGGAAGCGAAATCATCTGATAAGAACCAAAGATCTTTAGTTGATTATCTGAGCTATCTCATCTTTCATCGTACATAGGATTAATGCTTTGTAGGAATATGCTTAAAATTCTGTCGTGTCATTTTTATGTACATAGCAATCAGCTGTCTATTAAATACAGCCCTATTTTGTTAGGATTTTGCAATTGAAAAAAAGAGACACGTATTGAAATATGCATGGTGTTATTTTGAGGCACGAGTTTCTTAGTAGTATTTGCTCTCCAATTTCCATCACTGAAGAAACGAAGGGCCATGGGTTTTTTTTAATCTTTTATTAGGGGGAAAAAAATAAACAATATACAATAATAATAATAATAATAATAAAAGGCCAGTTTTGACACTGTTGCATTATTGGCCAATCTTTTTAATCAATTATGGAATCTTAAGAGGATAATCATTGTGTTCCCTTCCTTCCGATACAACTTCATCTCAAACTGCTACCATCTTCATTGTCCTCCCCATTTCTCATTGAATCTCTCAATAATTTCATGCCCAATAATGCATAGTTTTTTTATTTTTTTTAAAAAAAATGCTTCTAAAGATCATTTGCGATCATTTGCCTAGGTTGGAGAGCACAAATAAAAGTACAGTCTAAAAGACTTCATTGGAACTAACTTTCCTAAGTATTTTTCGCCTATCCAAAGATGACGAGAGAAATTATTAAATAGAAGAGCTTACTTAAAATTAAATAGAAGAGATTTTCCTCGGAAATCAATTTACACATTTTTCACAAACTGATGAACATAGTTCAAAGCGCACCCCCACAAACGGAACGCCTCTATCAAACTGAAAGTAACTGGACAAATCAGGGCCCAGAAATCAATCAATTAAAAAGTGGGCCGTTGGGGTTTACCCTTCAGAAAGGGCCGGGCCGTCGGGTAGTAACCACTTGTCGCTATTCTATTACCTCGACGCAAATTTCTAACGTGTTTTCTTATGGACTATTTTTTTTTATTACAAAATTTAGAAGAAAGAAAAAAAAAAAAAAAAAAAACGAAAAGAATCAAAATCTAGCATTTTCAAAGCCGTGCAAATCACTAACTCTGTTCATGGATTTCTTCATAATTGCAACTTTAGCGAGCTTCTCTGCCGCTCTCCAAGCCGATGTTGGTGTCAGCGGCTCACCATTTTCATCCAGAAATACGGTGGCTCCGCCGCCGACGGCGACGGCGGCTTCTCTCTCGTGGTTCACTTTCCGCCGTTGGTTCATCATCATCCGTTGTTGCTCGTACTGCCTTCTCCATTGTACCTCAGCCAGCTCGACTTCCAAGGCTTTAACATACTCGTCGACCGACTCGCATCTCGACTGCAGCAACAAACCCCGAGCCGACGTCAACAAATGCATGGCGCTGGTCAACTCGTTATGCTCAATCAGCCGCCGTGACTCGGCTACGGCTCGGGTCGTGACGAAGAGATTCCTCAGCCGTTCGATTTGCGGCAGCGATGACCGGACGGCTTGCGGCCTCGGCACCAGCAACGCTTGTTCTCGGCCGTAAACCACCTCTTGAGTCGCCGGATCTTTGTGGGAGCATCTAACCGATAACACGTGGTGGGACCCAAAGGCTGACGCTGGGACCCGCACTTCCATGAGCAATTCTTTTTCTTCCCCGGCGTAGAGATCGCCCAGCCGTATGCATTCGGATCCAAGGACCGTGGGCCGGGTATTGCATGAATAGACCGCTCCGATTTCAGCTGGATCAGACCCGGAAGAGAACCCGAGTTGAATCCGTAAATCTTGAACCACCACGCTTAACAACCCGCCAACGCATTTGGAAAATGCATCCTCCTCTGGCTCCCGGGTGTACCCGGCTTTCTCTCCGAACCCGGATGAGTTCACCGGAATTTCAATATGGGCAAATCGGGTTGATGAAACCGGTGGCGATCTGTGCCGTTGATTATTATTGTTATTATTTTCCCCATCATTCTGAACTTTCTCGTCGTGCCCGTCCGATAACAACATGATGCTGGCCACCGGATTTCTTTCCCGCCGGTCATCGAGAATTTTGGTAGCTTTCCTCAGAGCTTCACCAACTGAAGTTCCCTGGCTGCAAGCGAGACGATCAATAATCCGCTTAGCTAATCGTTGACCCTGAGCGTTCATTCTTCGCAAAGGCATTAGCCTTCTGGGAACATCGGAAAATGCCACAATTGAAAGCCGATCAGCGGAGCCGAGCGAAGTCACAACCAAGCGCATGGCTCTTTTCAACATCTGGAGCTTGGCGCCAGTCATGCTTCCGCTCACATCAAGCACCGTAACTAAATCAATCGGCGCACGGTGGGCCGGGTCCTTATTGAGATGAGGGGAATTGCTATTGTACGCCGCCTTGGGCGGCGGCGGAGGAGCTTTTACTTTCAAAACGACGGCGTAAGTTTCGTGGGTTCGGGTCACGGAAACAACGGCGGCATCAGGTAATAAGCTGACTTCCACATTCTTCAAGTTGTCTTTAGACGATTCTTTGTCGCTTGGAATTGGATTGACTAAGAATCCTTGGAATTCTTCCGTATCATCATCGTGGGTGTCTTGTTCTTCATTGGAAACTTCTGGGATGGGGATAAATTTGGGTGAAACCAATGGCTCATCATCATTGTAAGCTGACTGTTTGATACTGGGTTTCACTGGCTTTTCTTGTTTAGTTTTGAGGTTTGGTAATAATGGCTTGAATTCCTGGTAGCATTTTGGGGAGTTGGCATCAAAGCTGGCATTTTTTTGTACATCTTGATGCTGTTGAAGCTTGTGCATAGCTAATAGAGGAACATCTTTCCAGGTGGAATTGCAAACTGGGCAGATGAGTGTGCTGTGTTTCCTAATATGTGCAGCTATACATGGGAAATGGAATGTGTGAGAGCATTCTGCTGTATAAATTGCCGTTCCTTGCCCTGTTTTCACACTTTGCATACAAACTCCACAACTACTCTGCAAAAAACAGAGGAAGAAAACACCAAATTTTTATCAGTAAAACTCTTTAACAAATGTATGTGACCAAATAATTGGCTGGTTTTTCATATTGTTAAAAATTACTTACTCTGGTGAGACGAAGACTGTTCTTGAGGATTGCAAATGGGGATCTTGGTGAAGTTGGGTTGGAGCCAAAACGTGGTTTTGTGGCCTTGGTTGAAGCCTTTGGAGTATTACTGGTAGTTTTGCAATGGAATCTGGGGCTAACAAGAGGAGTGTCATTTGTTGAAGGTGGCTGAGAAGAAACTGCATTAGTTTTGCAACGGAGCCGTGGAGTGGAAGGGTTGCTTCCACCGGATAAAAATCCAAACTTTGCACAACTTCTTGGACTAGGACTTGGGCTGGGGAATTGTTGATAACCCTGATGATTTTGATTTTGATGCTCCTGTTCTTGTTGTTGCAGTTTATCTACATTATTTCTGGGCTCTTTGTCTCTTGGGATTGTTGTACAAAAAGCTCTTCTCCAACCTGTGCCCATTTTTTCCTCAATTCCAGTGCAAAAAAAAAGGTTCGAACTTTTGCAAGCAGTGTAGAAGAAGAAGAAGATGATGATGATGATGATAATGATGATACGAAAAGGAGGGTAGTTTTGTGGGGTTAAATCTGCAGAAGAAGCTGACAGGGAAGACAAATGTGGAAGATAAGAATAGAGAACAAGACGAGCTTTGGAATCAAACGTACCAAAAGTGATGACACATATAAAAACTGCTACTGGAAAATACACTTTCCTTCTCTGCTTATATTAAAGAAGAAGAGATGAAGATAAATTAAGAAAACAAAAACCAACTCAGACTTTTAAGACTCTTTCTGAGAGTCTCCCTCTCTCTCCACCTCTTTTGGGTGTTTAATTATTAGGAGTTGATGAGAGAGTTTTTTTTTTTCAAAAGATCACTGCATATGAAAAGGGCTTGAGATCTGTTTTGCTGTTTCTCTTTTCTCTCTCTGTATCTGTCTACACGTATATATAGTAAACTATGTGCCCCTCTATCATTTACATTTAAATAGTAGATAATTACTTCTAAATTTCTAGCTTAGGACCTGATTATTATGTGAATGAGAAAGAATACTTTTTGACAATTTTTCTTCTTTTTTATATTACATGTCCGGAATCACAGTCTTAACAAAATCTGATTCGACTCGAATAGGTCCGTTTCATGTGATCACAGTTATATACAACTATCTTTATCGTTTGGATTGAATTTTTGTCTATAAATGAGACAATTAAGGTAAAAATGAATAGTTTTAGCTTGGGTTTATCCAAATTTATGAGCACTAAACTAATTAATAAAATATAATGACAATTAAAGGTAGATGATTATATTTTGACTATAATTTGCCCAAAAGGGTTAAATTGGTTGAGAGTTTTGAACCGGTATAGTGTGACTGGTTGGTGGTACAAGGTAGTTAGGGGTGCTATTCAGTGCCTTAGTTTAATAGTAACAGGGATGAGAGTCAACTGTAGCCTTTTCGTTTAGTTGGGTTCTGTGGTTCTTTCTGGTTCTCCGCATAGTACATTACGGTCAGTAGGTCACCGACCTGTGCCCATGATCAACAGCTTAGCTAATACTATTAACAATTATTATGCAGTGGTAGTACTAATTATTAAAACTGATTTATTCTGTTTTTTTTTCCTAAAGGAAGTTTAATTTAGTTTAATATTCAGATGATTTTGTAAAGAAAGTACTATATATACGTACTCTTCTATAGTAATAGTATTATTTTCATCATTCTACTTCACAAAAAAAAAAAAAAAGGGAGAGAGATAAGAGTGATTGATGTTTATTGAAATGAAAGATTATTCGATCCTACTACATACATTCTCACTCTTGGAGTAATACATTCTAGCACAGCTACACTAAAACTACGTCAGTTCTGGTCAATGGTAAGATTGAATTGATGTTCTTTCATTGTCTACAGCTTCAAATCATATCATATCTTCCCCATATCCTTTAAAAAAAAAAAAAAGAAGTATAGAGAAACTAAAAATAGGAATAATCGAAGAGAAGCTTTCCCTATAATTTACTCATGCATGGTTTCAAATGTGCAAAGATGACAACTTGTAAATATATACTACAATAATAGTATATATGTAAGTACAGTAATTGACTATTTCCCAATAGCACTGCTCGAGAAGGAAGAAAAGAACCAAAAAAAAGAAAAGAAACACAGAGCATCTTCCCCCACCGAATCCTGGCCGTTAATTCTGTGTCTCTACAGTAGGGCCAACCAAATGATATGATCCCAATGAACATATAAGCAATAAATTAGAAACAGACTATATGGTAATATAGGGAGATGGTAGATCATACTAGATGGACAGAAGAAATCAGAGAAACCTGTGGTACGGGTATCAGAGATGCAGATAGGGTTTTGTACCACTTTCTAGTACTGTGAAAAAAGAAAGAAAGAAAGAAAGAAAAAATAAATCAGAGCTTTGAAGTTGAAATTCATTATTTATTTGTGTTGCATGCATGGGCTTGACAAATCTTCTACAGTTATATGCATGTATACAGCTAGTTTTATCCTATGTTTTGAAAACTGGAGCAGAAGCGGACCGGCATCTTTAAGTAGTTCACTGGTTTATCGATTTAATTGGTTTAAATCGGTTTTTAAAATTGGTTTAAATCGGTTTTTAAAATCGGTAAAAATTGGCTATAAAATTATTAAAAAATAATTAATTTTCAAAATTTGGATTTAACCAATACCGAATTTGACCAGTTTTTAAGTCTACCAATTATTAATCCAAACCGGACTGAAAAGACTTCCAATTTCCGGTCGAACTTGTTCGACCGCCCGGTCCGGACCAGTTTTCAAAACACAGGTTTTATCTACCTAAGCTTTTTTTTAATGGACTCTCTCCGTTCCGAAATAGTTATTCAGTTTAAATTTTCATTCTTCGTATAAATTGTACTAAAAATAAAAGTTTAGACAGAGTAATTATTTTAAAACAGAGTAAATAAGTATTATGCACCAGTTGATTAAATAAACTGTTCCAACTAAGTACGATTCAAGTTGGGTAGGTTATCATTAACAATCAAGTTTTACAAATAAATTCTTCTAACTAATTGCGATTCGAGTTAAACATATATATATATATATATTTTCGACAATTAAAAGTTCTTTAATAAGTAGTATTTTTAATCACTCTTATATGTCCCGTTTGAATAGTAGGTCTCCTAACATCTAGCTATAAGCTATGATTCTAGTAGTACTGAAGAAAGAGGGGGGTGTGGACTCTGGGACTTTTGGTGCCAGGAAAAAGAGTAGCCATTACTCATTTCAATGCCATACAGTGTTTCTTGATGTTAGTGTACGTACAGCTTGCACAGTTGCACGTACTGTATGTATTTATTCTCTTGTGATTTTTTTTACTTTGATGCAATACTTTTGTCTGAAATGTTAATTGCACACATTAATGGCTTTGTACAGGCGAATTAAGGATGTTACTGGTCCAAATATTAATGGATTATTATTGCTGCGGTACAACTATAAAGATGCAATAACAGTCATTCGTACCAGATACGTATAATATGAGTGCCTTCGAAAATGGTCTGTTCGGATCAATTGTGGATTTGTCTGAATTTGATACGTGAAACACGATTATTTAGAGTTAAAAATTACTTTTTATTGTATTTAGAGAGTTTTATCTCTTAAAATGATTTATTATCGAATTTCTTTACAAAGAAATCAGTAGACCGTTTCAATAGTATTTATCGATCTCCATCTGCTTTAGTGAGGAGTAAAATTACAGGAGTTTAAGAAAAAAAAAAACAATAGCAAATATCTAGCCTCCTACCTAGTAGTCCTACCTTTTGCCAATAATTGAATGACTTGTTGGTTAATTACCATCTTAATCAATGGTTTAGTTGATTAATCCTAGGGCTTATGCGAAAGCGGACGAAAAGGGTATCATATATAGAATAATGTGCACTACCGGATTAAACAAAATACCAAACTCATTCTCAAAAGTAGCAATCATATAAACTACAATTAATCCTTTTGTCCTAATATACTTTGCTTGTGAGTTGTGAGCAAATCATTATGAATGGGAATACATCATTATGTATAATTTCATGGCTGTCTTATGATTGTAGTTGTGTATATATGTATCTTGTTAGTGGAGCACAATTTTCTGGAATGGAGAAGCCTTCTCATCGAATAGAATCTTGCCAATGATTAAGGTAGTTATTAAATGAGTAGGTTTTTTCGTGTTAGGTTGTCTTTGGTTTAATCCCAACATTTCTAACTCAAACCAGGATGTGTGTTCTCATTAGTTTACTAACACCTATCACAAATTTGTCAAACACACACACACACACACACGCACAAAATCTTGTTTATTACACTACACTATTAAAGTTCAACATATAATGAATATTTTAGCCAAAAAGTGATAAATTCGAAAATTTATTTACTATCCCCTTCGTTGAAAATAAGGGATATAAAAGAAAAAGTTTGTCGCGAAAAAGACTGAATCTATCCATACAATCACTACTATAAACGCGTCATTTTATCAAAGAGTACTAAAATATTTACCCTTGAGAATATAATGTGTCAAAGGTGCTAGTGGAAGTAGGCAAATTACCACAACAAAACCTACATAGTTATAGGTGTGTCTTATTTTATGGAGTTAATCCAAATTAGTCAAACTTTTAAGATAACATCACAATAAAGTTTACCTTGGTAATGAATCAATAATGCAGCTACAAAAATTTTGCATCTATCTATCTAATGTAGGTGCGGGAGTTCTGTGCTTCTGGGATTGGTTCCTTCCCAAAAAAAGACCAGTTTTTATCGAGATTTTTTTGCAGAATTTGCAGTATATCCATCAAAAGTCAATTATTTACTCCACTTATTCACGTGTGCTCTGTCCTTTATATATATAATTAATTAATTATTATTACTGTATTTTATAGTTAAAATTTATTAAATTTCAGTATTATTTACTTTACTGTTTTTTACTCACTCATTGCTGACGTTTTTCTAGGTATGAGGAAATGGGAAAGCGTGAGTGACTTTCTGGAACGAACACACAATTTTGTCAAATGGTACGAAAGCACTTTTTGGACTTTAAGAATGCGGGATCTGATAATAATAATTAAATAATTGTTCCAAATACTATTATTAACCTAATCATTATATTAATCAAAGTTAGGCAAAGTAAAGCCACTTTTCCTTTTTAACCTTAATTAGTCAAATATCAAGTTGTTAGTTTAAGATTCACTAGCTGACTAGCTAGCTAGCTTGCTTGACTACTCACCACCAATGACGTACGTTTCTTATCTTCCCAGGTCCGAGCGTTATGGCTTTTTTCCCCCTTCTTTTTCTAACATAAAAAAGGACCTAATCTATTTGTTATTTTTCAGACTTTTATTTTTCTTTATGGAGTCCTTTAGGTTAATTTTTTTGTGTCAAAATTTCAATTGTAGTAGTGAAAAAAGAAAGAAAACACTAATATCATGCGTCGCAAGCAGAATAAAAAACTTCTCGACCGTACCAAGCTAGTTAACATACCATTTTACATTCATTTGATCTTTTTAGTATTTGAATGCGTTTTTTCTTTACTATATTCTCTCCGTCTCAACGCATGCAATTACTCGATTTAAATTTTTACTCGTAAAATTGTCTCATATTGAATGATAATTTCAAAATACTAGTAAAAAGTAGCATTTGAAAAAGGCAATAACTTGATTACAAGTTTTCATTTCCATTCTCTGAAGAGCTATGTTTACATTAACATGCTTTTACACCTTACACTGTCAAAGAGATGTTTTAAGAACATGATCCAATTTGTGATGACGAACCGCGCATGCATGCAGTGTTTTTTGTTTTTTCAATTTCTTGTTATTAATATATTCCTTCAATCCCAAAAATAATCTACATTAAGTTTTTACATTTATAATGAAATGTGGTTTTTTTTTTTCCTTTTTGAACAAAGATAATATTTTTACTATATATCCGAAATACTACAATTTTTTACATTTTCAGTATTCTTTTTGCATTCAAAATCTTCAGTATGTTTTTTATACGTGTATTAAATCAAACCAAATGACTTC